CAACCAATGTGAACAACTTTGATCGACTATGTCCTATACCTATCACTGACCGTTTATGAGATATGAACTATTTCTAAAAAAATTTGCTCCTATACAAGCATAAAATTTCCAATAAAATTAAAAGTCAAGTGCATAATACACACTTTCTCAAAATTTCAGCTTTGCAAAAATGGCGTAGGTTCACGAGCCTTTGGAAATTTACTCCTTTAGATTGAACATTGACAAACTAAGATTGTTTTTCCAAGAAATACTTTTGAATATTATCAAATCAGTCTGGAAAAGTCAATACATATGGTTTCAATTTACACATTAGTTTTCAATTTCGCAACTGAATTTCAGCAAGGATCATGATCTAAGTGTATCATGATCTAAGTCTGATTTTAAAACAAAATAATGGATTTGACAATAACTTCTTTGAATAGTTCGACTGTCATATTAAATAGTGAAGATGGATAATAATAATTATTCGAGCTCTCAAAACCCTAAATTCATTTTATATTCATTTATTTCACTTGAAGGAATATTCAATCGTCGAAATAATCACTTCTGGGTTTCAGAAAATCCCCATTTCATTAGACAAAAGAGATTTCAACCAAAATTCAGTTTTAATGATTTTTGTATGCTCACGGATGATAAAGTTTCTATTTGCATCTATGAAGAATCGTTGAATTCCGAAAAATATTTAGATATTCTGAGATCGACTATGTGTGATTTTCTAGACAATTTGCCTCTGAATTTGAATCGGAATTATTGGTATCACCGGATCTGACTCCCCTAGATTTTTACCTCTGGGGAAAAATCTGAGAAAAGATATACAGAACACTTATCAATACGAAACAGGAACTGAAAGATCGAGGAAATCGATCCCTCGGAAATCCGCAGAGCCACGACTGATCACATAATAACATCATCAATCCATCAATGTTTACAAGGGAATGGTCAGCATTTCTAGCATCTGAGCTAGTGAATTTTTGTCATGTCAGTATCAAATGTTCCAAGGCTAGTTTCACAATATTATCTCTTGTTTTTTAGTGTAGAATTAATTTTGTTATCAATTTAATTCTGAAAAGTGTTCGTTCTTCGGTCAAAATAGTAATGTTTGTCATTCACCACTATGAAATTTCATTCATGTATTCCATTAAACTTTTCTGAACTAATTTAACGTTATTATTTATTTTTCAATGTGTTCAATAAATACATTTTAGCGGAATTTTGTAATTGAAATGTTATATTTGTTCAGAAGCAAAAAAATTATAGAAGAATTCATATCTCATAAACGGTCAGAGATAGGTATAGGACATAGTTGATCGAAGTTGTTCACATTGGTTGGCTGAATTCGAAAATTGAATAATATACAGGGTGTTACATTTGAAAAAAATAGTTATGGTCGTTTTTCAAAGATATAAATTGAGTCGTATTTTTCAGACACTCTGTATGAAATAAGATTTGAGTTTCGTTCTGAAATGATGACCACCATATCTTATCTCAATGTTGCCAGAATTTGAGTTTGATGTATCAGTTAATTCATGCGATATTAAATATTAAAAATACCATGTTTTTGCAAAAAAAAAAGATTATTATTTTAAAAACGGTGAGAGATAGGTAATGAATATGGTTCACAAAAGTAACTTGAATTTCGATGCAGAATTCAAAAATGATATATAGGGTGTTCCATTTGAAATTTCCAAGGTATGTTACGTTTAGATGTGGCAACAACGCGGCGATGAAAATATTTCCAAACGATAGATCACAGCCATCTGCATCGGTAACCAAAATTTGAAATTCTCATCTTTTTTTGTTCTCTAGAAACGTCTAATGTACCATCGAATATGGAATACCCTGTATAGTAACTTATATGCAACTCAATTGATTTCTTCTTTCCTTTGGAGGTTCTACACAATTTTTTATATTCAGATGAAGAAATGAAATCGAAAAAACTAATCTCTCCTTGAAAATTTACGCCACTCAATTTTCCCTATCATCGTTTTTGAAAATTGGTATTCGACTCTGGCTATTTTACATTTATCCGAAAAAATAAAAAGACTGTTCATTTCAGATACTACTGGATCGAAGAACATATGAAAGTGCGAGCTGTCAACGCCGAATTCCAATATGGCTACGAGTACTTGGGCAACAGCGGCCGACTAGTCATCACCCCCCTGACAGATCGCTGTTATCTGACTTTGACCGGCGCCCTGCACCTCAAATTTGGGGGGGCGCCCGCCGGTCCGGCCGGTACAGGCAAAACTGAGACAACCAAAGATCTGGCTAAAGCCATGGCCATCCAATGCGTCGTGTTCAATTGTTCAGATCAGCTCGACTTCATGGCCATGGGCAAGTTTTTCAAGGGACTTGCGAGTTCGGGTGCCTGGGCTTGCTTCGATGAGTTCAACAGGATCGATATTGAGGTTTTGTCGGTGGTATGTTGATTTTTGATGATTCATCAATTCATTTCATTTGTATGCACTTTATAACAAAAGAATTTTACGGGTTCTCTTGTTTCAATATATCTCATGTGTCTCATGTAATTTCTATTAAAATATCTAGAAGACTTGTTCGATACAGCAGTATACTGTAAAAAATTGTGAGCCGTCACGGGACAACTAGCAGATGTGAAACATCAATAATAATATTTGCAGTACTGAAATATTTATGAAAATTTGTAATTGAAATGTTGATGGGAAAGTTTTAAAATGGCTTTAATACACTAGTAAACTAAAGAATCTTAGCTAGTTATTGCAATATATTACTTAAATTATAAATATCAGTCATAAATGTTTCAATATAAATCCCACTCATTAGAAAATTAATTGATTAATCAATTTTTTCATGTTTCTGTTGATAAGAAATAAAAAAAACATTCGTGAATTATTCGCTATTAGCTGATTTCGAAAAACTACTTTGTCAGTCTTCATGAAATTTATCCTTCAAGCAAGTGTTTTAATGCATCATTTTTCATAGCAATTCTGTAAATTTCAATCTATCAAGAGAGTAGATTTTACATTTGCTGACCCTTGAGACAGCCCAAATATGCATGGGTTCAATGCACATACTTGATTTATTTACAAAATATAAAAATATAACTAACTCACTGATAACTTGATAGTGTTTCGTAGTGTGATTTTGCTTTCTTTGCAGAGGGCTTTCTGAATTATTACTGTCAGACATATATTATTTTCAATTATTTAAAAAATTATTTATCTACTAAAACACGGGTTATGTATACCCTAGTGAATACAGCTGTATACACTAGACGTATCCAAGCTTAATGTGGCGAGAGAGATAGCGTAACGCCGAACCAGTGGGAAGAGAATCGCACAGTCGCTTGCGCATGGCGTCACGTCGCCACGGCATGCGTTGCCATGCCAGCAGTTTAACGTGTGGCTATAAAGTTACAAATCAATAATATCCATTCAACCATTCATTAAGTTTAACTTCGAACTCTCAAAGACCGCTTCAACTTTCATCAAACCCACCCTTATGAATTAGGATTGCGACATCATGAAAGTTCAATGCATAAATTTCCTTCATGCGAAATGGGAACTACAGACAGGTACGTCAACTCCATCAAAGAATAGTCGTGAAGTTGACTTTGGTTGAGTTGACCATTAGTTGACACACTCACCATAACAAGGGTTTAACGGGATACCATAAGTGAGGTCCATCTGGGAATTGTCGTGCTGTTTCTGTACTGAATATGTAAATGTATTATCAGTTGGAGTCTAATGTATCCAACTCAAAAGATTGAATGATTGATTATAAAGATATGTAAAAGTATTATCAACATACATTTTGCATATTGGGTATATACGGATTGGGTGGTACAAACTTTCAATAGTCTTTTAGAATATTCTCATTCTCAAAAAATTGTGATAGGTTCATAAATGAACAGGAACGCAAATTTTCGAAAATGTAATAGTTATATATTGAGCAGTGAAATAGTAATTCGAATAAATAATTTTTATTTAAAATGGAAATTATTTTGATTGACGGGTGTTTTATGATGTACTATTTTGTGTTTTGTTGTACTATTTTCAAAGGAAATCAATAGAGAATTAAATTGATGGATGTAGCCGTTACTATGTGGTAGAAAATCATAATGAGGAAAAGAGAATTGAACCTTTCTATGTTTTCACCACTTTTATCTGTACAACTAGCGTTACTGCAGTTTCGTCCTATAACGACATTTTCTGTTTTAAAAAAATCTGTTTTTCCGTTAACCAGCCGTCGCACCCCTACGAACGACAACCCTCAGAAGTCGAAACTTGTGCGAGCTAAGGATTAACGAGGTCTTACCTTTTAACGTGTGATTCCTAACACGGGTTGGACGATAGCAAGTGAAGATCGTTTGTTTGAAGGTGATTGACAATGTTTCATGATGAATTTCACTAGTTCGGACTTCCATTGTCTACTATATGAAATGATATGAAATCCCTGAAACAACTAAAAAAGAAGAATTGAAAATGAATAGCTGAAAATAACAATTATATTAACCAAAATAAACCTGAAATGAAATAATAGTGAAATGAAATACAAGTTACAATTGAATAAATAAAAATAAAGAAATAAAAAAAGAAAATAAAAAGTGGAGAGATTCCAAGTTACGTTAGTTCACGACGTTTCGATTGTTAGTATCTACAATCGTCTTCGGGTGATGACTGGACTGATTTCTCCGAGAGATGACTATTTATAGGTCGTTCGAGTTCGAGTACTTAGACCGATCATCAGCTCCAGAGATTCGGCTTCTCAAAACTTGTCTAGATTTTTACTTCCCTTAATACAACAATTACAAGGAAAAACATCGTCTTTTGTGAAGAATTCAAGGCATTTTGTCGAACTACTAGGGTCAATTGAGGTCACACAGGAATATCAACTAATTAGTTTAGACGTGGAAAGCCTGTACACCAACGTTCCGGTCGAAGAAGCACTTCAAATCATACAGAGAAAGCTATCCGAAGACGGAAACTTGAAAGAGAGAACGAATCTGCCTATAGAAGTAATTATGGAACTACTAGGGTGCTGTGTACGAAACTGTTATTTCCAACTGAAGGACGAATTCTTTACACAAGATGAGGGACTGCCAATGGGATCGCCACTTTCACCATATATTATTGAACGGTATACGAAAGATCTGCAAAATGAACCCAAAACACCGCTCTTCTGGTAAATCATATAATATTTTATGTTTCGGCGACGAAAGTGGTGCATTCCACTTCTTCAAATCCCGTAGCCATTTTTCATGGACAAATTGATATAACAATTGTATACGGAATATCAAGTACTCCACATATTTATATTTCGTCAAGCGTAAGTTAAAAATATTTCGCAAAAAAATATATGGTTTCGACCCCGCGACAATTAGCTCTTCAATTAATCGAACATACAACTCGATAGAAAATATTGAAAATCATCAAAACCGTATAATGAAAACACTCTCAAATCAATATCCACATAAGTTTTCTATTAATTATTTCATTGTCATAATCAAATATTTTCATAACTACTATTTATATTCATAACCCGCTTCCAAATATCTGAAGCTGTAATGAGTTAGTGCTTATAAACCGTTCCATCTTATGAATCGATAAATGTGAGAACCTTGTGACATAGCGTTATCCTCTGATAAAAATGAATACTTTCGAAAAATGTGTATTCTTCAGATAATATAAATGGAGAAAATAGTTCTTGTCAAAACTGATCTCTGAATAATGTTTAATAAGGAACTTTCTCTGTGTGTCAATTTTATGAATTACATAGGTCACTAGGTTATCGATAAATAACTGAATTTTTTAGTGAAATATAACATATTTGACTACGTTCTGATCCTATATTGCCCTAACCGGAATAGCAAAGTACAAACAATTCATATAAACAATTTCAGGCAAATATAAAGAAAGATAATGGCAAAAACATTTCTTCGGATAATGTTATTGTGAACGGATATTTCAACATGCATTGTCCATCATTCCATCAGATCATTCTACATTACTTACCTTTGTTTCAGGGGTATTTTTTCACGAATGGAAATGGAAAGTATTGAATGAAAATGGATGTCAGCGTCCGGACGCATCTAACCTTGACGACAGCACTACCTGAACTGGCCGGAGCCCTGTTTCAAGAACGCATGCGTAGTTCCGCATTGTTTATTATTTCATTTCTTTGCATGTCAAACGTATAAGATTGTATTTTCGTGTGCGGTTTGTTATGTTTTTTCTCCCTAATTATTGCTTCCTCAAAACGAATCAAAGGGTAATTTAAATATATAACAAGACGGGTTTTTCGAATATCAGAGCTTCAGAATGAATATGAAAATATATTTGTTTTTAGTTTTGAAGAACTTCATGAAAAATTTTTTGTTGGAATTTTGTAGGAATGTGCAATCCCGTTTTATCCATACAAAACCATTATAAGTTCAATTCGCGCTTTGAAAAATACTCATTTGAGTATCTTTATTTCATTCACATAACCTTTCCTTGAAAACTAAATAGATATAAATCTATTCAAAATGATTGCTAATTTTCATTTATAGAGTTTTTTTATTCAACCATTCGTCAATGATAATAACAACTAAGAGAAATGATTAATGAATAAATATAAATAATTTATGATTAAATTCAAAATGAAGTTTAAAAATCTGTTTAAAATCTATTTTTTCTTCTAACACAGGCAATGTTACATATACTTTCTATTAGATATACATGAATATCTACTTCAAACCTGAAGGATTATATGTATTTACCAAAACTGGAAATCTTTTTGAACCTGTCAAATGTTTTAAGAGATCAATAATTCATCACTTTTACTGATGTTGTTTCTATTGCGTGTTTTTCAATGTCCTTGTTGATAGCAATATAAATTAGAAATTTCGATGAATATCAATCATCCATGTTATGTGGTTTTCACTGAATTTATCTTTCAAAAAATAAACTTTACTTATACAAATTTGAATACAATGAAGATATTCACACAAAATGTGATTCAAGATTCGAAGAACATGGATTGTCGCGAAGTTATTCAGGAATCTGATTAAATGTTACAAAATATCATTCAAGAGTCGAAGAACGTGGATAGTCACGGTTTTTTCAAC